AAAAATGCTTCAAATTGCCCGCTAGTGACCCACAAAGGCCCAAAATCATGCCTCAGTGTCTCCTAGAAGGCATTTGAGGGCATTAAAAGTAGGGGGGTTGCATGGTGTAGTGGTTTGAGCATTGGACTATGACTCTAGACACCAGAGTTTGAATCCTGGATCAACCATGTAAACGCACTGGCTGACCTTGGGCAAGTTAAATTCTCTCAGCCTCAGAGGATGACAATGACAAATCCCCTCTGTCACATATTGGGGGGATGTCAAGCCAGGAAGGTTGCTTAGCTAATTATGCTTAACTAGTAGCTGAGGTGGAGTACTGGTCCTCGTTTTTTATGTTTTGATTTATCAGGTTTTGTAGCTGGTTTTTAACACTCTTGTAAGCCCCTTTGACTTAACTATTGAGAGAAAGGCAGGATATAAATTTTTTAAAATTGCAGTTCATTTGTGGAGACAATAGGGAATTGTGGAGTGCTACAAAGACAAAATGCTTCTCTTTGTAATGTTTTGGGACAATTCCTGATTCATGTAGGGGAGTCAAGGGACCAAGTACCTTAAAGGCACCAGATCCTGTCTGATCTTGGAAGCTAACCAGGGTCAGCCCTGGTTAGTACTTGGATGGGAGACTTCCCATGAATACTAGGTGGTGCAGGCTATATTTCAGAGCAAGAAACTGGAAAAACCACCTCTTGCTATTCCTTGCTAAGAAAACCCTGTGAAATTCATAGGGTTGCCATAAGTCAACAGGCAACTCAAAGGTACACACACGTGTGTGCACGCACATACACACACATACAGGCTTGGAGGCTGGCTGGCATACACTCCAGATGAAAACCTAGGTGTGTGTGTGGCCAAGCAACATCAGAGTGTGGTCAAGATGACCATGTTGTAGTTATTAAGAGAAAAGAACACAGATACTGGGGGAAGCTGCAGTAGTTTAGTTCTTCTTGAATCCACTGGAAAGGGCACAATTCAACCCTTCCCTTCTCTTCCCCCATTGAGTTAACTGAATGCAAACTACTTTTGCAATTTGAACTCACTATGCACCAGTTGAAGTAAGCCCAGGAAGAAAAGGGAAAGTGGATGGAGGAGAGAGAAACAAAAGATATTTTCAAAGTAGCTGGAAAAGTGACATAAAATCAGAGGGCTGCAATTTCCCCACTTCTGGATTGGGGGCATATTAAATCCGTTTAACAGGATCGTCTACAGTTTTGTGCTTTTTAAAAAGCCAGTCCTATTTTTTAAAAAAATTAACAAAGCATAACAAAGAAGCAATGAGCAAAGTAACAAGCTGCTTCCAAAACGGCATAACTAACAGTAATGAATTACTTGGTAAATGCCAGCGCCATTAAAGGAATAAATCACTTTTAAAAAGTAAGGTTCAGCCTCTTTAAATAACCTCCATGCTGGCTTTCTTCACAGTAAAGAATAAGAGGGAATCTGTTCGTGTGATTTAACAGCAATATTTCGTACAGCATGTCATCCTATCACTTTCTTTCCTTTGTATATTTTTAGGCTATCATCCAATGTCTATTCTAACCAGCTCTTTATCTCTTATAGCCAAGAATTAGCACATTTGCCATTTGATCTGCTAAAGAATACTGTACCTTGCTGAACCTTGCATAGTTCTTTGCCAGAGATCCATCAAAGGCCATTGCATCTGTCAGTCTCCTGGGACCAACCTGACACCTTATATTAAATCCAAGCAGGCCTTATCCAGGTGCCAGACTTTTTGCCCTTAAGCCAATTTACTGCTGCCAAAGAACAATCTCTGTGCCAACCAGTAGGAATCAACTGCTTACTGGCTCCAGGCTGACCCCACCCAGAACAAAATGTCTAGCTGTTGTGTAAAATAGCAGTATTGTGGTGGAGGTGGGGGGGGGCAGGATGAACAAGGAAAAAAGGAATATTTTCCCTCTCTTCCCAGAAAAGCAGTTTGGTCTAGTGGTTACTAAAAGAGATGGAAATCAAGGGCAATGAACTGTGTACCTCATTGAAACCCTCCTACTTATTGCTGGCAACCCTCCTTAGCTGTCGTCTGGGTCAGGAGACTGTGCCAAGCCCTACCCTACATGTTTTCCAAGAGCTTTAAGGACTAGAAACCTCATATATTATGTATGATAAAAGCACAGGTTTCCGCGAATGAACACAGAAGACACCAGTGTCACTCCCCCTGATGAATGCCATATTCCATCTATGCACAGTGTGATGACAGAACTGTGAAATCCAGTTACCATTCTGACTGCACTTTGCTAAATGAACTTAGGAAAGGAGTGATATCTTTTCGCCATGTGCCACAGCAATCTCAATGATCCTGCAGAAACCGCCACAGGACCTGGTAGTCGCTTGTGCAGGCTGAGATGAAGGAGGCCTCCCAAAGTCATCCAATGTGAAATCTCCCCCTTCCCTCCCGCCATTGGAGCACCATCTCCTGGCACGCAAGCCTCGGCGCATTTCACCGGGGGCCTTATTATGAATGCTACTAATGAACCATGAAAAGCTATTAACTGCACCCCGGCTAATCAAACTTTTAGCTAAGAGGGAAGGGAAAGCAAACTTGTTCTCTTTCTTGTTCCCTTGCTCTCTTTCCAAAGTTATGTTATAATAATAATAATAATAATAATAATAATAATAATAATAATATCATTTTAATTCATGGAAGAAAGAGGCAGGTATGGCATGAGAGACCTTTTCTCCATCTTTCCTTCTACTGCACCTTTGAACAAAAACATTGGTATAAAGATGATGATGATGATGATGATGATAAGAACAATGACAACAATAATAATACTCGCCTTATCCCTTCAGACTCATATATTCTCCTCCTCTGAGACTTTCTCACATACATTTTATGCAAGGAAAAGTTTAGGGAGCTAACATCTTTGGGTTGAAATAGGATCCTAGAGTTACCTAGCAACACTACATAGAAAACATGGTAAGATGGTCACTTTTTCTTCCTCCTGTGCTTTCCCCCAGCCCCAGGAGAGAAAATTATCCAACTGTTGTGACCCAGGGAAGCTTGACCTGTTGAATTTATGCCCATCATGCAAGCTGCTCAAGGCAGAGGCCCCCACTGATACTTCAGACATGCAGCATGCATACACTGCCAGTCCTACAAGGTTCACAACATGTCAGGAAAACTCACAGTAAGGCGAAGGAGCCTGTCTCTTTCCCCCCTTGCCAAAAACTTCTGTGGAGAGTGGGATGATCAACACTATTGTCTGACCATGTTATTCCCACTGCAAGAAAATCTGGCAAGTCAATTTAACTTACTTTTAACTTCTTCTGCCCACTGCTCTCCTGATCCTCATCCTCCTCTGTCCAGCACCAACCAGCAGAGCACTGAAAGAACAGCTGAAAACTTCTCCTCTTTCTTTGCTTTGTCTTTCTCTGTACACTGGTGAACAAAGCCTCTCTCTCCTCCAGCAGGTGCAGGGCAGAAGGGGCTGGTCCCATGGACTGCTGGGAATCGTAGTCTGTTATTGAATAACTTATTTCCCCCACACACACCTCCCTCCCTTTCCCTAGCTGAATTTCACTCTCACTCTCTCTAAATCCCTTCTTCACTTTCTCTTGTTTGAGTGTCTAAAGACGTGACAGGATTTGTGATCCAGTTCACTAGTTCCCCATTTGCATCTTCCTGGCTTTCACTTTGTTTTTTCCTTGCATTCTCCTCCACTTGTCTTTGATTTGCATTTTCCGTAAGATTTTCCTAATTGAATTTTAAAGAATATTCAGTAGTCTTTCCAGGACCGCATCAACCTGCAAATGGGTTGCCCCCCCCATTGTATTTTATTGTGTTTTGTTTTATTTATTAGATTGTATCCCATCATTCCTCCAACAACCCCAAGGCAGTGTAAGTGGGTCTCCTGCTCCTCACCTTATCCTCACAAAAACCTTGTAAAGTAGGTTGGGCTGAAGATTGCTCCCAAGTTCATCTCTTGAGATTCATTTCTCAGAGGGGGACAAGGATGTGGATCTCCTAGCTCCTGCTTACAGCACTCTAACCACTCTCTCTCTCATTGCCTCTCTCTTACTTTCATACACACACTCACACTCACACACAGAGTTGGCCCTCCACATTTGCGACTGATTTTTGCAGATTTGATTATTCATGGTTCTCATTACTATGTACAGGAAAAGTGATTCCACCTAAACATTAGGAGGTACTTCCTGAAATTAAGAGCTGTTTGACAGTGGAGTCTCTTTATCTAGAGTTTTTAAACAGAAGCTGGATGGCCATCTTTGGAGGGTATTTCGATTGTGAGTTCCTGCATGTCTAGGGGGGTTGGACTGGATGGCCCTTGTGATCTCTTCCAACTCTATGATTCTATGATTATCTCTAGGAATCTCTAAGTTCTCCAGTGCAACGCTTCAGGAATTTGACCATAGAGTAATGCTGGAGGACCTAGAAATTCCTAGACAGAACACTTCTGTAGCCATTTGTAGGTCCTCCAGCGTGATTCTATGTCAAATTCCCACAGATGTTGACCTTAGAGTTTCACCAGAAATTCCTAGAGTTCTCTCAAGTTGAAAAACTCAGTGGTTTCTTATTTGTGGATTTTCCACTTGCTTGGTCAGTGGGTCACCTTGGGCAAGTCACACTCTCTCAGCCTCAGAGAAAGGCAAAGGCCAAACTCCCTCTGAACAAATTTTGCCAAGAAAACCTTGTGATGTTGTGTGCCTTCAAAACATTTCTGACTTATGGCGATTCTAAAGTGAACCCCAGAACAGGGTTGTTGTTTTTTCAAACCAGAAATCTTTGACTTTTCCATATGGTGACCTTAAACTACTCAGGATGTTGTTCAGGTACAGGAAGCAAAACACATTCCAGAAAGGAAGAAAAGAAAGGAAGAAATGAAAAAAGGGAGGGGGAAAGTGAAAAAATGTTTGGGTTTCTACTTTGAACTCACTTTATCAATGAGCCCCGTTTTGGTAAAAGTGAAAGCAAGGCATACAAACTCTTGCAACTGTGAAGTTCAGCTTTCATTTCCATCAGTCAAGTTTCAGGTATACTGCTTTTTATCATAGAGGTTCCATTGAGCTTAAAGCTGTTGATGGGCAAATCACACACACATACAAAGAGGACAGAGGAGAGCACAGATGTGTATAATATGTGGAGATTCGGCTTTACATATATGGAGGCCCTTGAAGACATCATGAATTTAAT